TCTCTTTTGATCTTTGTTCATTTAAAGTCTGTTTTATCAGAGACTAGGATGCAACCTCTGCCTTTTTTTTTGCTCTCCATTTGTTTGGTAAATCCTCTTCCTTCTCTTTATTTTGAGCCTATATGTGTCTTTGCACATTAGATGTGTCTCCTGAATACAGCACACTGATCGGTCTTGACTCTTTGTCCAGTTCGCCTGTGTGTGCCTTTTGATTGGGGCACTTAGTCCATTTACATATAAGTTTAATATTATGTGTGAATTTAATCCTGCCATTTTGATACTAGCTAGTTGTTTTGCCCATTAGTTGATGCAGTTTCTTCATTGTGTAGATGGTCTTTACCAACTGGTATGTTTTTGCGGTGGCTTGTACTGATTGTTCCTTTCCATGTTTAGTGTTTCCTTCAGGAGCTCTTATAAGTCAGGCCTGATGGTGATGAAATCTCTCAGCAATACTTGTCTATTAGAGGATTTTATTTCTCTTTTACTTATGAAGCTTAATCTGGCTGGATATGAAATTCTGGGTTGAAAGTTCTTTTCTTTATGTATGTTGAATATTGGTCCCCAGTCTCTTCTGGCTTGTAGGGTTTCTGTTGAGAGATCCACTGAGTCTGATGGGCTTCCCTTTGTGGGTAACCCAAACTTTCTCTCTGGCTGTTCTTAGCAACTTTTTGTTTTACTTATTTCAGCCCCGGTGAATCTGACACTTTTATGCCTTGGGGTTGCTCTTCTTGAGGAATATCTCTGTGGTGTTCTCTGTATTTCCTGGATTTGAATGTCGGCCTGCCTTGCTAGGTTGGGAAAGTTCACCTGGATAATATCCTGAAGAGTGTTTTCTAACTTGGTTTTGTTCTCCCTGTCACATTCAGATACACCAATCAAACGTAGATTAGGTCTTTTCACATAATCCCATATTTCTTGGAGGCTTTGTTCATTTCTTTTCTTTTTTCTCTAATCTTGCCTTCTCATTTTATTTCACTGAGTTGATCTTCAATCTCTGATACACTTTCTCCTGCTTGATTGATTCAGCTATTGAAACTTGTGTATGCCTCATGAAGTTCTCATGCTGTGTTTTTCAGCTCCATCAAGTCATTTATTTTCTTCTCTAAGCTGATTATTCTAGTTAACATTTCATCTAACCTTTTCTCAAGGTTCTTAATTTGTTTGCATTGGGTTAGAACATGCTCCTTTAGCTTGGAAAAGTTTGTTATTATCCACCTGGTGAAGCCTGCTTCTGTCAGTTGGTCAAACTCATTCTTCGTTCAGTTTTGTTCCCTTGCTTGTGAGGAGTTGTGATTCCTTGGAGGAGAAGAGATGTTCTGGTTTTTGGTGATTTCAGCCTTTTTGCACTGGTTTCTTCCCATCTTTGTGAATTTATCTCCCTTTGGTCTTTGAAGTTGTTGACTTTTGCATAGGGTCTCTGAGTGGACATCCTTTCTGTTGATGTTGAAGCTATTTCTTTCTGTTTTTAGTTTTCTGTCTAACAGTTGTCCCCCTCTGCTTCAGGACTGCTGGAGGTCTACTCCATACCCTGCTTCCCTGGAAATCACCTGCAGTGGCTGCAGAATAGTAAGGGTTGCTGCCTCTTCCTTCTTCTTGTAAGTTCATCCCAGAAGGGTACCTGACAGATGTCAGCCAGAACTCTCCTCTATGAGGTGTCTCTAATGATATACAGGGGTCATGTAACCACTTGAGGAGGTAGTCTGTTGCTTTTCAGAGCTCAAGTGACATGCTGGGAGCTCCTTTGCTCCCTTCAGAGCTGCTGGGAAGGACGTTGAAGTCTGATGCTGTGGGACTCACAACTGCCCTTTAGCCAGGTACTCCGACCTGGGAAGATGGGGCTTTATTTATAAGTCCCTGATGGGCTGCTGCCTTTTTTTCAGAGATGCCCTGCCCAGCAAGGACGGAGTCTAGTTACAGTCTGCCTGCAGAGGCCTTGCTCAGCTATCTTAGGCTCTGCCCAGCTGCTGTGTAAACTTCCTTGTGATTTTTTTATGCAGTCAAGGTTAGAACTGCCTTGGTAATGGTGGACATCCTTCCTGCCACTGAGCTTGACCATCCTCAGTCAAGCTCAAACTGCTGTGCTGGCTGAGAAAATCTGAAGCCAGTGAGACTCAGTTTGGTGGTCTTTGTGGAAGCGGGATCCACCAAGCTGATCACTTGGCTCTCTGCCTTCAGCCTTCAGCCTCCCCTTTTTTTTCAGGGAAATAGGTGGTTCTGTATCACAGGTATTTCAGGCACTGGCTAAAATGGCAACCTAATTTTGTGCTGGAAACCCATAGTGCCAGCTAAAATGACCACCCAGTGTTGTGTTAGAAACCCACCATGCTTATGTTGGCATTGGCGGGAATCTCCTGGTCTTTAGGCTGTAAAGGTCATGGGAAAAATGCAGTATTTTGAGGTGGAGTGCCAGAGTGCCTGTCCCCAATGGCCTCCCTTGGGTAGGAGGGGGAGTTCTCCAATCTCTTGTACTTCCCAGGTGAGGCAACACCCCACCTTGCCTTGGTTTGCCCTCCTTCGGCTACACCCACTGTCCAACCAGACCCATTGAGATGAACCTGGTACCTCAGTTGGAAATGTGGAGATCACTCACTTTCTATGTCGCTCTGCTGGGAACTGCACTCTGGAGCTCTTCCTATTCAGTCATCTTGGTGCAAGTCCAGACCAATATTCTTAAAGATCATCATTGGGGAAATGTTCAACAAAATACTAGCAAATTGAATCCAGCAGCATGTTAGAAAGGTAACGCACCATGATAAAACAGACTTTATCCCTGGGATGCAAGAGGCTCTTTAACACATGTGAATCAATAAATGTGATTCATCACATAAACAAAACTAAATACGAGAACCACATTATTATCTCAATAGGTGTAGAAAAGGCTTTCAATAAAATTTAGCATCCTTTCATGTAAAAAACTCTCAATAAATTAGGTTTTGAAAGAACATACCTCAAAACAATAAGAGCCATCTACAACAAACCCACAGCAAGCATCCTACTGAATGAACAAAAGCTGGAAACATTTCTTTTCAATACTGGCAGAAGAAAGGATGTGATCTGTCACCACTCCTATTTAACATACCATTGAAAGTCCTGGCTGGGGTACTCAGTTAAGAGAAAGAAGTAGAGGACATCCAAATACAAAGAAAGTCAAACTATCCCTGATTGCAAATGACATCATTCTATAGCTAGAAAACCCCATAGTCTCAGCCCCAAATCTTCTTGCTGATAAACAACTCCAGCAAAG